CCCCAAAACCCCAAAACCCCAAAACCCCTGGATGCTAAATTAAATTGATTAATTCGAATTATATAAAGTCAATTAATTAAATTTTTAATTTTTCTAACATTGGAATTATTTAAAAAATTAATGAAATAACAGCAAGACATCAAATAAAATTCTTTTAGATAGAACTTATCATAAACACCTACTTTACATGGGGTAAACTTTTTCTAGAAGCGATGTAATATTTCAGATAAGTTTTAAATTGCTTAGATTAAAGAAATGGCGATAATTCAATAATGGTAAGACCAATGTTAGAAAAATTACCTAGATAAAGCATTTAAAGACCTTACACAACTATCAACAGTCCAAAATTTGATACTGTTAAAATTCCATCCAGGTTTAGAAAATAATTTTAAGCAACTTCATTAGGAGATGAAATTGAAGAAACTAGCATGGAAAGCGATGCGAGAAATGTAAAAATCTCTTATATTCACTCTCGATAGATTTCATCTTAGAATTTCAATTATTCGAGATTGATGGGATGCTAAAGAACATAAACTTCTTTAGAGAATCAGGAAAAAAAATTGAATCAATCCTTAATTATCAACACTAGATACAAAAATAAAACTAGGACTCCATTTCTTACAGGCACCTAAAATTCTCCAATTTTTGACTGATCTAAATTAAGTTCCTTCATTGATGATAGACCTAAGGCTAATATAAAAAAAGTTTTCAACATGATGTATGAGGATACAAGCTTGAATTCTGGAACGAGATATCAATAAAAATTGAAGTTCAAAAAAGAACAAATTAATAAACTTCAAGGCTAGATTCTCGATTATCAAAAAAGCAACCTTAGAAAATCAGTTAGAAATGATAAAGATTCCTTTTCAGATTTTATGAATAATAATGGAACTGAGCTCTCTCTTAGATCTATTAATACTTTTCGAAAATCAGATTAGTAAGGGTATACCTAGTTCAAAAACAGCTCAATGAAACTTACTAACTTTTATCGAATTCTTAGAGACAGAAAGAGTAAATAGAATAAGCCTGATTTATTTCTTATTAGGTTCAATGAATGTAGATTTCGGCAACTTTGAGAATTTAAAAATAGTTACCATAGTAAAAATTCAATCATTTGTGCGAGGATGGATTGCTCGATTTAGATATAAATAGGTAAGAAAACATTTGTTTGCATTAGGATAATTTCGCATCAGTTAAGGCATCATAATTATGCATACAATAACAATTTACTTTTATAGATGAAAGAACAGCACTAAATAGACAAGTAAAAGCAAGTCATTTTCAAGAATTTCTAATTCGTTGACGAAGTTCTAATGAAGAAATATAAAAGGGTTATTAATCTAAATGTTGAGGTATGAAATAATATTAAACATGGATTAATTGAGATTTCAGAGAATTTTGTACATACAGAGTTTTATTCGTATGATTAATGTTAGAAGAAAGTATATGATTCCATCTTTATTAATTCCTGAGTAGGTATTTGAAAATAATCAGAGATATAAGAAGAGATGAAAGGTTTTCAAAAATTCAGGAAATGATTGATAAGAAATGGTTGATCAAGTTATTCGAAGAGTAAGAATAAAATCTATTTAATTTGAAACAAATTTTCTAACATAGTTTTCGAAAATATGATCGGTTGAAAATATTAAAGCAAGAAAAGAAGAGACAATTATAGTAAAGACAAGATAGACTGAGCAAGTTAGCTTAGCCTAAATCACCAACTGCTAAAGTAATTTCATTTAAAACAGGATCTCATGGTGGAACATTAGAGATTCCAGGTACTCCTCATGCTCACAAAAAAAGTATTATCATTATTAAAATAGTTTTAATGCTCTTAAATATAGGTTTGCAATCTAAAAATTAGATTTCTTTCGGAGGTTAACCTCAATCTTGTCCTCCTTCTCCCAGATCAAACAGAATAACAATGGGACAGCAATATGTCGTAGACTCAATGAAGTATGCAAATACTTAATCCATTAACTTTTGTAGTAAAGAGAATAAGAAATTGTAGGATTAAATACTTGATTTAACTAATAAGATTCTTAAAAAGAAAGGGCTCATTATAAAGGCAAAGAGATTGTAAGTAAAAATTCCATAAGATTGAATCATATAAAATACTTGAAAAAAATAGAAATTAGAATTTTAAGTTAATCTATAATTTTCATGTAGTAAACCCCCAAAGGATCCTAAAGAAGCTTCTTTAACTAAACAATAAATACAGACACTTACCATGCCTCCTTCTTAACTGCAATAAATTCAATAGTAGAAACAAAAAATATTAAAGACTAATAACAGCTTAATAAGTGGTGAAAATTAGCTCATTAGAGGATCAAGTACAGTAGAGTCAAAGAAAATCCCTGCAAAAACAGCCAAAAATCTAAGTATTGATTTGTACTATTCATTTTTAAATAGAAAAAAAGAAAAAGGCATTCATTTCATAGTATAAGGAAGTCTTTTTCAAAAAGATTGCTAGAAAACCTAAAAAGCACGTTACCAATAAGTTTTTAGATGATAACCTTGAACTTGACAAATTTAGTTAGATTGGTCTTAATGAATCAAAAGGACAAATTGACAATGAAGAAGAAATTTCTCCCTATGAGCTTAGTAGTTGATTAATTTCAAGCAAAATCTATAATCAATAATTCGAAGAATTTAATCTATTTATTTCATCACTTACAAATATTAGCACAATTAGTAATTATATTTCTTGCGGGGTTTTGGGGTTTTGGGGTTTTGGGG